CTGTAGTAAGTGAGGATATGCTCAAATGTGGCAGCCATAGGCACAGAAACCAAGAAAAGAATCTGCTTAGCGTTGGAAGGCCTCAAGTAGGTGGGGATCCCCAGCAAGATGCTCTCACCCCTACTGCCAATCCTTAAATACAGTCTAGGAGGGGTGGATCCTGGGTCCACTCCTTCCAGTCACTCAGGTGCATTGTATGTACTTGAGCTCCCCTGGGTTGGCCCTGCCCTCCCACCACGTGCTCAATCACTGCTTCAAGCCATGACTTAGTATTTGTGCTACATACAGTATATCCATAAGTGATATCTGATTGTATAATCAATTAATATACAGGTGTTATAATTAAGAAACATACAAAAGAGTTTGGCTAAACAGGTTATTACACCAAAAAGAATAGATAGAGGGCTTATCCTCATCCTGGGCTCCCTGGAAAATGCCAAAAGGAGGGATCTCCAGAAAGACATCCTTCCCCACTGGTAGTCAGCTCTCAAATGGGGTCTAGGAGAGGTGGAGCCAGGCTCCACCCTTTCCAGCAGCACAGGTGAATTGCCTTCACCTGTGCTCCCAGGGCTGACTTATTGCTCGCCTCAGGTGATCAATCAGAGGTTCAGGCTGTGATTCAGCAGTTCCCATACACTGATACATTACATTTTTTTCTGAGGATGCATATGCTTGCCCAAGAAACAAGAAAAAATGTATTATTTTTTTTTCTGGGTATCTCTGTCTTTTATGAAATACAGAAACCAAATTTATTTATTTATCATTTATCTCCACTTATACATTCTAAGATAGATTTTCCTTAGTCATTAGTGCCATGTGACCATAAAACTGATTTTTCCCTGCTAAACAAGAATATTTCAAGTATTTCAGAAAGTGTATAGTTTAATGTCAAAAACACCATTATTAATACTGGTACGCAAAGGGAGGGTAGTCAAACAAAATATCTTCACACTATGCACCTTGAAACCTTCATTACCCTATGCTAAAAGAGCTTTGTTAGGTAGGAAAAAAAAGTTGATTTGTCCCTCTGAAAACACCCTAGGTTGACAGCAGAGACACCAATTGTATCTTCTCTGTCTAGCATCCAAATTTTCCACCACTCTACTAATACATGAAATTCATGGTTAGGCAACAGCCTATAGAGCAATACTAATGAAGACCATAAAACATTAGAAAGCCTACAGAAGTAAAACAGTACTTATTCCACTACCGGACATTACACTGAAAAAATAGAACATACATTAATATATCTGTTCCTTCCTAAAGTTCCTCGTATGTTTACAAACTCTTTCATGTAGGAATTCAAGAAATTTTCAAACTGAAAAAGAGAGTTTTCATTTCCAAAAGTTTATCTACCGTGACAATTCTCTACTGATCTCAGAGTAACCTCTTAAACTTCAGGGATTTGTTTGAATCTTTCATTTGCTTTGCATGACCCTCACAAATGCTGACAAGTCAGTTGCATGCCTTGACTTGGCACATCATTTCAGAAGACATACAGGAGTTTGATCCATCTTGCAAAATTCTCACAAAACCTAATTTATGCTTATTAAGTAGTGTAAAACCTAGTAGCCTACGTTAACATAATTAGAAGCATGATGTTAAATATCTTTCTACATAGTCACTTCATAAAACTAATCATTGTTAAAAGAGCTATCGCCTGAATTTCCTTAAGAGTGCAGCTTATTCTCTCAGTACATTTTTTGCCCTTGGTTACTCTAATACTATTACAATCACTGTTTTTAAACAAAGCCATTCTGATTTTCTCCTTTTCCACTAAATTATTAGTTTAGTTTTTGATTGCTTTTATTTAGATGGTCAGTGTTTTGTTGCTTTTAAAGCTTCGTGATCCTTAATTTCATATTTAATTGTTTTTTCTTACTGGATTCTCCACTACATTTGGACACGGTATCAATTTCAGAATCATTTGCTACTTTCCCTGAGGCAAGATTATAAACTCTTCACCTGTCCTATCTCACACTAGCTTCCTCCAGAAACAGGAATTGCCCTTCTAACTAATATTACAGATTCTCACTTCCAGTAGCAAAGTAGATTGACTTTCTTGTCAGATCTGTGCGCGCAAGAACTTCTTTACGGTGAGGTGACGGAGCACTGGAACAGGCTGCCCAGGGAGGTTGTGGAGTCTCCTTCTCTGGAGATATTCAAGACCTGCCTGGACGCCTACCTGTGTGACCTGGTGTAGGGATCCTGCTTTGGCAGGGGGGGTTGGACTCGATGATCTCTGGAGGTCCCTTCCAACCCCTACGATTCTGTGATTCTGTGATCTTCAATCTGAGTTTGGGAATACTCGCTTATGTATGACACAAATAGGATCCTAACTCCATGCCTGAGAATGAACAGCTCATCCTGGAAAAGTAACAATCTAGTCTTGGCTCAGTTCAATCCTCTATAATTCCCACTGTATGATTCCCAAATTAAACTGAAATTAGATTTTTCTCACAGCTCTCCTTCTGATATGTTAAATTTAGTTGAGCTAGGCTAGTGCCTGTCTGCTTTGATCAATAGCAATATTGAAGAATTCACAGGAAAACAGTATTTAGCCAGGTGTCCTTTTTGTAAAGGCTGCTTCTTTCCAGTGAGTCAGAGCAAATTGTGGAGTTGATATAGCACAGCTGATAATAAACCTGTGAGTAAATTAAAGGCTTTGTTTAGGCCCACTATTGCAAGAAAATCTTGATTTCTCATTCAGTCCTGCTTCCGTCAATAAAAAGAATGCTCTTTAAAGGCTTTTGGGCTTTTTTGCTTAGTTGGAAACTTAAATAAAAATGACTGAACAGCATGTCAGAGCAATGTTAATGCATGCTTCAGCTCCAGTTTGTATTGAGATGACCAAATTCATAGCACTGCAGTTTCACTGCAACTTGTGAATAAGTTTGCTAGATTTGCCATTTTTTAAAATCAGTTAATTAAGACAACTCAAAGAAAAATGTTTTTTTTCCTTTTAGTTCTATATGCACTTTAAAACATGTGCAAGTCCTATAATGTTTTTTAATTCAGCCAGCTGTTGGGCACAATCCAATCTACAGCAACAGTCAATCTGTTTTATAACCACCCCACCCATCCCTAAAAATTGTTCTCTCATACTCAATCACCAGCATAAAATAAGAATGCATGAAAACCTGCCTGAAAAATTTGCTGTGATTTCTCCAAAGAAATTCAATTATTAACATTTTATAGTTGAGAGTTCTGACAAGTTCAGAATAATGCTGTTGGACAGACTCTGAGACAATCAAAACAGTATCATAATATATGGTGTAAAGGCTTAAAGTCAAACTTTGAAGATAAAGTGTTTCACATATTATCCATGGATAAGGGAATCAAATAAATGGCCTAATAGGAAACTAAGATTTATACTACAGATGTTTTGGTGCTTTCTGTAGAAGACTCATTTCCTTTAGCTCTTTGTATGGCCAGTTATCAGAAGAAGTACTGAAATCAGGTGAGTAATAAGACACTACTACAAAGCAACAATACATTAATGCAATACACTGCCTAAAGCTACCAGGGTATTTACAAAATGACCAGAGATGCTATGATCCAAACTAATTTTATAATAAATAACTTCTTCAATTCACTGGAAAAAAAAAAAAAACAACATATGAAGAATGAAATGTTGTATTATTCATTCCAAATGATGTATAGTGAATGTTACAGATGAAAGGTACATCACAGTTCTAAAACAGAGCATGATTTTCAGTACTTTGTTTCATTTTAATATCTATGGCTTCCAAATGTGCCATATCTTGTCTACACGTACTTCTAGGGATGCAGCCTCTGCTCCAAGTTGATTGTCATCAAATATTACCAACAAAAAAGTAGTGATGGAAAGAGAATCACTGATTGTCATTGGAAGGTTACTTAGGCAAAGTAACTTGTACAAATTGTAACTGTGGGCTTTGAGTAGTGATGCAGACAGGATAATACTAATATTGCAACACAGCTAAAGAGAGCATTCCAGACACAGCACTGAGAGAAAAGCTATAGGGAGAGAAAGGAACAAAATGAAGTTTTATAGATAAGAACAAACACAGAATAAAAAGAAAATAAAAGCAAAGTAGTATGGAGATGACTCTCAAAGGTCTTAAAGGAATTATATTTAAACAATAGATTAGAGAGAAACTGAGAATAGGGAGAATAAAACAGACATTATCTATCTAACAGGCAAGACAGAAAATGTTATCCTTCGTCATCCGAACAAGATTCATTGAAATGGAAAACCAAAACAAACACACTAAAAATCAAGGTTAAATCTAAAAAGCCTCAAAATGAGAACCATCAAAAAGGAATGAGGATAGATCACATCTGATGGAACTAAAAGTTACCATAGTTCAGTGAACATTTAACAAAAAAACCTAAAATTCTAAAGGAAATAAGTCTATCTTTTCCCATTCAATACATACTAGCACTGTTTATTCCAGTAACATAAGTGCACACACATACATCGACTTGGCTGTCTGCAAGCTCGATGCTTAAAAAAATTCTGTGCAATAGTGTCCTAGCTCTCAATAGCAAAGATAAGAATAAAGTGTAAAACTGAGAATCACAAGACTGTGACAATAGTTCAAGCAATCTAAACTATTTGATAATTTACAGTTACAAATTATCAGGGAACATTCAGTCTCTCCTTAGTAGTGTCATGTGCCACACTTCCAGATCACATTCTGAAATTAAGATTCTTCATCCTATTTTTTTTTCTCTAAAAACACATGTATGAAACATTCCTCTAGAGTACATGAAAACACAAAAACACTAATGTCATATCTATAAAAAAACAGGCAATAATTAACATTTACTTCAGCAGAAGATAACACTACCGATTAAATTGTCACATAACTTCATATTTTTTCTACCATCTTGTCACTTCTTTTCATTCATTAGAAAAGTAAATGATGGGTAGCCTGAATCGCACATTTCTGAAATGAAAGGTCTGCCTTAAGGACTAGAAGAAGGGATGCAATGAAATCCACTTACAGCCTTACCTTCCAATTAGCAGGAACTCCCCAAGCACTCCCAGACGTCTCATGGCAATGAGGATCCCTCTCACCGTCATGCCCTCACAGAAGCAAACCACCACTCTAGCCTTGGGTAATCTTTCTCGCAGCTTGCGGAGCAGGCGATCAAAGCTCTTCTCCCCGGCATTGCTGTAGATCTTGTCAGAATGAGCAATGCAGAGACCCTCTTGGGCAGCCAGCTCTTTGAAGGCCTCCATTCCGCTTTCCCCGTAATTTCCTGTTTTGAAAGGAAAAAAAACTGTTGACATTATATAATGCATTTGACCAATTAAGGAAGAGAGGGTAGCATGTGAGAAAGGAACAGTTTTCCTCAGAACTTAGCTAGCATCAGCAGAAAGAACAAAGGAGTCTCAAAGTAAACATACTCAGTGGAGCAATAAGATAACTGTGTATTTCTAGTTCCTAACTGATCTGGGGACTGCAGGTTTCTTTCCTTACATTGATTTATCAGTGAGTATCAAAGGCAAACAAGGTGAAGAAGTAGAAAGAGGGGCAAAGACAGCTCAGACAGTAGATTCTAAGTTTTATTAACAGTTCTCTGGTAACAATCACAGTTCTATTCCAGAAAGACAGTTACAGAAAAAGGGGATTTCATTCTAAGGTGTTCTGTAACCCACATTGTCCCTGTTACTAAAGTCACAGAATGGATCACGTCACAGAATGGATTAGATTGGAGGGGATCTTAGAGATCATCTAATTCCAACCCCTTGCCATGTGCAGGGCTGCCACCCACCAGATCAGGCTGCCTATGGCCCCATCCAGCCTGGCCATGAATACCTCCAGGGATGGGGCATCCGCAGCCTCTCTGGGCTGCCTGTTCCTGCGCTTCATCACTCTCTGACTAAAGAATTTCTGCATAACATCTAACCTAAATCTCCTCTCTTTTAGTTTAAGATCACTCCCCCTTGCCCTATCACTTTCAGACTGTGTAAAAAGCCAGTGCCTCTCCTTCTGGTAAGCTCCCTACAGGTATTGGAAGGCCGCAGTGAGGTCTCAATAAAGCCTTCCCAAAGCTAAACAAGCCCAACACACTCAACCTTTCTTCTTAGGAGAGGTGCTCCAGCCCTTTGTTAGTTTTTGTGCCTCTCCTCTGGACCTGCTCCAACAGCTCCACATACTTCCTGTACTGAGGGCCTCAGGTTGGACACAGTACTTCAGATGGGATCTCACAAGGGCAGAGTAGAAAGGGACCATGCTGGTCACCCCTCTTTTGATGCACAAAAGTGAATGAAAGATTAATGTAAACTTAAAATGTCCTAATCTGGTAGAATTTTAAAAGCCACATGCAATGACCTGACTGAGCTGTGTTAATGACAGTCAAAATTTAGGTCTGATGTTTCTCTTGGAATAGACATTATCTGCAAGACCTTTCAAAATAGCTCTTCCTGATAGAGAAACATTTGAACTCTGTGGTTCAGACAATATCAAATCTGATTGTGAATTTTGTTTTGTATTCATATATTTCGGAAGCTCCATAGCAGCTCTGTAAAACTCAAACTGCCTTCAGCTAAGTGCAATCTTAGATTTTCTTTGAATATTTTATAAAACGCCGTGAGCACAGGATTTGTGATGACTATCAATCAAGCAAGAGGAACAGATGGATTACAATAAATTGTCTATTAAGAGTAACAAGAAATTATACAAAAAAAAAGAGAAGCATGAATTTTATGCTATCCAGATCCATAGCATTTTTACTTAATTTTTTGAGGGAGCAACATCAGATATGTAGAGCATTTCTAGACACAGCCCTTTCCAAACCTGGGGTGGCTGAAGAGATGCAACTCTCCTCTTTGCAGAGATGTTTTCAAATAGCAAATTGCACTGAGGAGAACTCCTAAACCAGCCTAAATTCCTTCATCCAAAAATTAAAAAAATACAGCAACTCAAAAGGCGCAGCTACCAGAAAGGAAAAAAAAAAAAAAAAATCGTCAAGAAACATTTCAGGCATTCTTTTAAAATTCAAGAAAAATAAATGCATTTTTCCAAAAAGTCTTCATCACTCATCACTTGCAGCAAACAAGACAAACTGCAGTTTCATGTAGTCATACTTGTACTTAGGATGTAGGCCCAAACCTTCCACACTTGATGTCAAAAACCCCTCAAGTTCCACAGCCTTCTGCACTTAACTGCCCTAGTTTCTTACAAATTTGCAGCACAGCAGTACAGCCTCTTTTCCAATCTGTTACTCAATGACAGATACAGCAAGCGAAACAGTCTGCTCTGCTGCCTGTCAACCAAACGTACTCTAGAACAGGAGCAAGGCCCTGCGTGAGTGTGGGGAAAGGACTAAGAGCTGTGCCCAGGGGGAATGTATCATCAAGTAGCCCCATACTGCCAGGCCCCACCCCACGATCCCACACTTGCATTAAAGCTTCATGTAGAGTTTGCTGCAATGGAAGCTCAGAGGAGAAGCTGTAAAGACATTTCCATTTAAACATAAGACATAGCTCACTGTTACCAAGGGATTTTCTCCTGGATCTGAGGCTGGACAATTTGAGCACTTTTAATACCTGTCTTAGGTTGCAAGCAGCAGCAGGACAGCCTTGTTGCTGACTTGCCATTAGCAAGCACTCCATGGTACAGAAGGAAATTGGAACATTTTTCCAGCTTCACATGGAACCTCATGCAACATGTAGACTCATAGGAAATCAATGGGATTCATCCTGAACTAACATCTTACCTCAAAGGAGCCCCTGGAGTGAGTTGTCTTAGATATTTTGGAAATGCACATTAGAAAATAAATATAGTACACTTTCCACCTGAATTAATATCACCCTAAATATATGGTTAGGAAGGGAATTTTCATATATCATAATCAACACAATCTGCTGTAACTGAAGTAAATTATTAAAAAAGAAATCTCCTTGCAATGCTTTTTCCCAGATTTAATATAGATGGAGTTAAAATTACTTCAAACCTGCAGCAGACCTGTTCTAGTAGTAAAATAGCCCACCAAAACTAAGCTAAGAGAAAGTTGGATTGCTGCCTATAAGTTCAATAAAAGCAATTAAGAGTCTAGCAGATACAAAAGCTAATTAAAATCAAGAACAACATTAACAAGATTGAATAAGCAAAAAACACGACAGAAAATTCAAGGCTGAAAATGAAAGCTTTCTAACCCTTATATGAAGTAGTGAAGCAGCTTTCCAAAAGCAGTACAAGAAAAGAAATCTTATTTTAGAATGAAGGTGGGTAAGCTCACAAGAGCATTATATAACGTAGATGTCTGCAGCAGCCAGAGATGAGACATGATGACCCAGGAGGTCCCTTCATAGCCTGTTTCCTGCAATCCCAAAGCAAAACAGCACTCTGCATACCTTCTTCCCCAAGCAGAAAAGATTAGGAGAAAAACAAGCACGTGACAGATAGGGGATAAATTGATCAGCGCACTCAGCTACTGAAGTAAGCACAATGTAAGGACATATATAAGATAGAAATCGCTAATTAATACTGTGCAACAGCTAAGAACATATCCATCTGTACCATCTTGTTAGGTATATCCACATCAATCAACACATGCAACAGCTGAGAGGGGAAACATGTAACAAAAGTAATCTGCACAGAATGGAAGTTGGTGAAAAGTTACAACAGGATGGACAATTACAGCAGGACACTGAGCTGGAGACCATTTTTGCTTTGAAGGAACAGTTGAAGATCCAAGCTCACCTGTAACGGCCTTTTTGTTACGAGAATAACCTGGGAAATGCTGAAGTTTTTATTATCTATTTATTACCTTGGGATCACAATTTTCATTTTGACCTTGTTGCAGCTGGACAGATCAATGTGGTAGAAAAGGCATTGCAACAAAGGTGCGATGACAGAAGAACCGGCACAATAAAAAAGTGCTATAAAGGAAGGGAAGTTTGCTCACTCATATCAGAAGATTCCAGGTTTGCAGGGGAAAGCTTCACCAAGGAGGAATCTCCAGAAAAAAAGACTTCCCCAGTAGCATTCAGCTCTTAAATGAAGCCTAAGAGAGGTGCAGCCAGGCACCACCCCTTCTGGTCACACAGCTGAATTGCCTTCACCTGTGCTCCCAGGGCTGACCGGGTCCTTTCCCCAGCTGCTCAATCAGTGGTTCAGGCCTTGATTCAACAGTGCCCATACAAACCTGTATTCAAACACTAGTTGGGCCACTAACATAACACTAACTACTTCAAGCCTCACAGTAACTCACTAATTTTTAACAAATGTGTTGTTTTTTTATCCCTTTTAACAAATAAATAAGCAGACAAACAAATCAAAGCCTTGCTCAACTTGTATCCTGTTCAGAAAATCAGACATTCACCCTTCATGCTTTAGTACTTTTATACAGCTCAGTATAGTTCTCAGTGCCATAAACAGCTTTGCTTCAGGACTCAAAGAATCCCACTTAAGGCCATTTCTGCTGAGGGAGCCCCGTGTTTGAAGACACTGAAGAGGGATGCACACAATGGGAATTGTTCTAACTCACTGAATTCTGTGCATTTAAATAACAGAAATATTGAGATGTTGCTTTGGTAAAAATCAAAGATGTCACCTTGATGAACAGAAGACATTTTCAAGCATATACTTAACACCAGACTTATATAACGCTTGGAAACACAGTACCCCCAAACTACTTTAAAAATCTAGCCTCATAAATTGCTCCTTTGAGACAGCATTATGTTTGTGTCACAGCTGACAAAGGAAGTTGAACTATTTGCTTTTATTAGCACTTCAGCAGTGTGGAGAGCAGAGCCCAGGAGCTCCATCTAAAACGTTTATATTGTTCTTATCACAGTTGTTTGGCAATTTTACTTCCGTTCTGTTTGTCAAGAGAACCATTTATGCCTCATTTATGAAATGAGGAGAAAATGTTGCCTCAGCAATTAGATGCTTATGAGAATCCTGGAAATGGTCTTTTTGAGGGGTGAACAGAGCAGCTGTACAGGCCTTCAGCCACATGACCAAGTGATGACTTTCCAGGGCATCCTGAGCATCCTGTATAATCCAATGGCTGATTTCATTCAAGGATAGGAATTATTTGTGGAGCATCATAAGAATACACTAACTACTTGCATCTGTGCTGCCGAAAGCATCCTGTTGAAACCTATAAGCTAGCACCTGATCATAAAAAGAATATCTTAAAAGACAATCATAATTCTCAAGTGGAAGACTCTTCCCCTCTTTGCTTTCAGGATCAATAAGGGTAACTTCTTTCTTAGTGATCCCTGCACCACCTCCTTTAAATATGCA